TAATGGAATCCAAGGGTTCGGGTTGTTGGAAGCCTCTGATTCATAGCCAGTCAGAAGCACAGGTGACAACCTGGACTTGAAACTGGTGGCTAACGTAGGGGGACAGTCTTGTGGGACTGAGCCCTTATCCTGTGGAATCTGGCTCTATTCTCCAGTTTCATGTTCTAAGAAATGTCTAAGTGTAAGAAATGTCCAGATCTGTGGAGAGTGGGTAAGAGCCAAACTGACCATAACTGCCGGCTTAGGATATGACAAAATGGCAATGGGTTGAGAAAATGCCCCTGAGAATGGCAGTTTTACTTTACAATCAAAGGAGGAGGAGAAAGAACGGTTACAGGAAATTCATTGGCGGTAGATTAGGGAGGTGGGAAAAAGAAAGCAAGGCAAGAGGAAGTTTCTGAGATTGGGTAAAGAGTAAACTGGGGAGACAAATACCTCTTTCACATTGGCGGGTACCAGACCGTTAACCATTAACCTTTACAGCACGTAGGGACGGTGTGCAGGGAACACGATGGCATGAAGGGCTCCTGGCTCCAGTGCCAGCCAGCGGGCTCTGTCCTTGAGGGGTCTAGAAAAAGAGGGATTGTTTTGACCCCCCCCCCCAAAGGCAGGTTATCGTAAATGCACAGAGATAATAGACAGGCTCAGTTAAGGAAGAAATTGACCTTCGTCAGGAAAATACAGGCTTAGGATATGACTGCCCTCCATGACTCACTTCTAGTTAGGAAGCTCTCATTTCAAGCCATCCCGTGTGGTTATTTTTGGCCTCCTCAGAGCTTGTCTGGTGCAGTATATGACCCCTTTTTCGTCCACACGATTCAACAAGATCTCATTATGCTATTTATTCCCATAAGACTCCCAGCTGGTGTCTGAGGATTGCTTGATGTGAGGAAAATCCATAAGTGGGAGCTGGCTGCATAATAGTTAGCAGCCAGGAAGGGGGGGGGGGTGTCTAAAGTGGGGGGCAGCATCTAAACACCCCTGTGGATGCGTTAACACAACGGAATACTATTCTGCAGTGCAAAAAGAATGAGTGGATGGACGGGTCTCACAGCCACTGGAGAACCAAGAAGGAAACACTGAGGGTGGAGGAAGGTGTTGGCTGGGACAGGAGGGCTTTTAAGGGTCCGGAAACGCCTGGCCGAATAGGAGTAACAGCTACTCTGGTGAATGCATTTGTAAAAATTCACTGAGACTGCATTTAACATTTGTGTGGCTTATGTAAAATGGATCTTCATAAAAGGAAAAACGAGCTAGGCTTAGGAGCTAGACCAAGAGAGGGCAGGAGGGAGCCATGGAAGGTTTTTGAGCGGGGACAGGGCCCAGTCAGGCCTGGGTATGACTAGGGAGGTCTTCAGGGGTGCGTGGGGGCGGGTCCATGGAAGGAGAGGGGCCAGAGCTTGGCCCCCGCCTCAGCTCCTGACTGGTTCTCTGGTCCTGGAGAGCGTCCACGCCTCTCTGGACCCTCTTTTTCCACCCAGCCCTTCCGTGGGAGTGCAGGCAGAACAGAAGTAGGAGGGGGAAGTAGCCCAAAATTACCCTGAGACTGAGCCCCTCGAGGACAGAGCCTTCTGACTCATGCCTGCAGCCCGGCGGCCAGGGCCTTCAGGAAGTGCTAGTTCGGTGAGGAGGGCAAAATCTGCCAGAAGAGGGGATAGATAGGGGTCAGGGGTCAGGACCTATACCCACAGCAGAGAATAGGAGCATGTAGGTGGGGGCAGAACCGAGATAATGCAGAACGGGGTCTCTCACGTGTTCTTAAGTTCTCAGTCATTGCCAGGGCCAGCCTGACGGTGGAACCGGGCTGAGGTAGGGAGGTGGGAATTGAGAAAAGGAAGAAAGACAGGAAAGCGGGGTCAGGAGGACTATAGGTAGCCATTGACCGACTGCAGCAAGTATATTAACTATGCAATGCTTTTTATACACAAACACTGAATAGGAGGTCTGTCAAGAGGAATGTATTCTTTGTTCCTCTTAATCTCTAAGGGAGAGACAGCAGAAGGACAAATTCTTGGTATAGAAAATCTCAGTAAATACCCTGTTTCCCTGAAAATAAGACAGTGTCTTATATTAATTTTTTTCTCCCAAAGTTGCGCTAGGTCTTATTTTCAGGGGATGTCTTATCTTTCCATGCGCTAGGTCTTATTTTCGGGGAAACACGGTAGGTATAGACTTCTTGGCAAGCCATGAAAGGTTGCTCTCATTCTACTGATAGTCGCCATCCAAACAAGCCTGGGAAAACTGTGTGGGCAGGGGCCAGCCTTGCCAGCCCCCTCGAATGCAAGGACCTTGTCAGCTTACATCCAAGAAATCATAAAGCCCCTTCTGAACAGTCCCTCCCTGGTCTCAGTGGAAGCCAACATGTGGCAGAAGGTGAGGGGCTTTGGGCCACATTAGAGATTTACTGTGCACATGAGGCCCTGCACATGGCATTGATGACACAATGTGAACAAAAATGAAAATATGGTAAGATGATCTGAGAAGACCAGTTGGCTAAGCACTGGGCTCTGGAGCCAGCTGCCTGGGTCAAATCCCAGCTCACCCACCTCTTCGCTGTGGTTCTGAGGTTTCTGCATCTCAGCTTTCTCATCTATAAAATGCGGCCAGCAGTGCCCACTTTGCCTCCTTTTGTAGAGATCTATCTGTAAGATGGGTTCTACACAGGGCTTAGCATGGTGCTGGGTCCAGTAAATATTGTGAGCAGGCTCACGGGGCTATGGTAAGGTGACCAGACGTCCCGCTTTTTAACAATTTGTCCCCGTGTCCAATCAGGACTTTTTAAAAACACCTCAGGACGCGGGACAAATTGTTAAAAATCGGGACATCTGGTCACCTTAGGCTATGGAAGCTTCAGGGCTGAAGGGGGTGGGAGGGGGCCGGAGAAAGAGTGGTCCCAGATGAATGAGTTTGGCAGGTTACCAGGCGACACTGTGAGGAGGGCTGCCTGGGGCGGGGGGGGGGGGGGGGGGGAGGCTGTTGGAAGTGTCTTCAGAGGTTCCGTCGGGTTCCTGTCTCCGTTACCCTCCAGGAGGGCTGGTGGCGAGGGCGGGCAGTCCGGCAGTGGGCGGTGCAGGCCCCAGTTTAGCAGGGCTGAGGGGTGGGTGGGTGCAGCTGGCTGCGGATTTGGAGGGAAATCCAAAGATAGCTCGGCAGAGGGGGGTGACTCGGGGCCGGCTTCCCCGAAGCTCCAGGGAAGTGAGCATGAGTCAGCCTCTCAAAGGGGAGTGAAGCCACTTGTAGGAAGTGAGACCTGGGTTCGAGCCCCGTGGCCACTGTGCCTCTGACTCATCTCCCGCAGGGCACAGGGGGACAGGCTGGGTGTGAATCTGGACCCTGCAGCCCTGGTTCTCGGTGTCAGGACTGGCTCCACTTACCCTCAGTTTCTGTATCTGTACAGCGGGGTGGGGTGGGGTGGGGTGGGGCGGGGTGGGGTGGGGGGTGATCTTGGTGATCTATAAAATGGGAGCACAGTGGGATCTCCGGAAGTGCCAGCCCCCTCCCTCTTCCTGACTGAGTCCTAGCAGATGTGGGTATAGGGGGGTGGTTTAGGGTGGTTTAGTCTCCTGATGGGTGAGTTGTCATCTAGGTTCCAGTGAGGGGAAAAGGGCAGGAGAGAGAAAAGGGGCAGCTGAGCATTGTCTGAAAATCATTAGAATAATACAAAGATTGACTATCTTCTGTATTTGGTTCTCGCTGAATTCCTGACCCTCTGTGCCATTCTGTTCTGGCCCAGTTCCATGGGGGTGGCCCATTTTACAGGTGAAATAAAATATTCAGGGCGATGGGAGCATTTGTCCAAGTCACACAGCCAGTGGATGGTGGAGCTGGAATCTGCCTGAATCTGTTCTTAGTCTCAGAGCTGGGCGGGGAGGTGGTTGAGGACTCTGAAGCCTTCAGACATGGGAGGGCGCTTAGGAAGGGCCTCTGTTTTACAGACGGGGAAACTGAGGTGCAGATAGGGCAGGATAAGGGCCTTCCATTGGATGAGCTGCCTGTGTGAAGTGGGGGTATGTTTAGAAAGAAACAGCGACTTCTGTCTTTGTGTAAAATTTATTACAAAGTGTAAGAACAGACACCGGTGAATCCCTTCACCCCCTCCACCTCCTCTCCCACCATATTCTCTGCAACTCTAGAAAAATAGTGTCCTCCTGCTCTCCCACCAGGGGGCGCCACCTCCTTCCTCGTCCAGCTTCAGGCCTGGCTCCTTCAGCTCTGCCGACCAGCGGTAACTGAGGCGCCCCAGGACCCTGGACTCTGGGCCCCAGCTGTCTCAGCCCCCAGGCACCCCCACTTCTGCAGAAGCTGGGGGTCATCGGTAGCAGCACAGTGAGGATGTTTTGTTAAGGGTATGTGGGGTAGTGGTGACCATTTTCCCATGTGGGGCCTCCGGGATGGGGCACGGCCTCCCTCCTTCAGCCGGTGTCCCTCCAGCAGCCTCAGTGAGTCAACCCACCCCGAGGTGGGGCCCCTGGAGGCCTTGCATTTGAGGTGTTTTAGTCATAGGGCTGGGCCATGAGAGAGAATGTCCTTGACCTCAATCCTGGGGAAAGTAGCCTGGTTCTTCCTTCATGGGTCCTGGGGAGACAAAGGGAGATGGATGGACATCAGACCAGACACAAGAGGAGGAGCTAGAGCTGGGACATGGAAGTGAAGGCAGACAGAAACCAGTGGGCAGAGGAGGAAGTAAAGAGTGGGTGTACCCAGCACCAAGAGATCAGGAGCAGCCGGCATTTGGGCAGAGCCAGAGAACGGGCCCAGGGACAGGCAGAGAGAGGGACAGACAGATTCCTAGCAATAAAGGGGAGGGCACTGAGGGCCAGCACAGGGGAGAAGAAATGTGGCCTTCCGCCCCTGCATCCTGTCCCAGGCTCGGAGTCCTTTCTCCCCAGCACAGCCAGTGCTGTCTCGGGCCATCCCCTGCCCCCCCGTCACCCTCCAGGGTGCAGACCGGACCCCTTTCCCCCAGACGCTTTCCTGCCCACGTCCCCGCTCCGTACCCGCTATGTGGCCTCCTGGCTGGGTTCCGGGAGCTGCTTCAGGGCCGTGCTGAGCAGCTCCGTCAGGGTGTCCAGCTTCCCTGCCAGGGTGTCAATCCGCTTCTCCAGGGCCTGGTGCGAGCTGCTCAGACCCAGCTGCAGGTCACACAGGATCATGTGCATCTGGGCAGAGAGAGGGACGGAGGCGTCAGGACTGAGGCACAGCCTCCCTGTCCCTCGGAGGAAGGCAGTGGAACGAACATTTAGCGACGGGCCCTCAAGGTTTATCCTCAATTGTAACAGGTACAAAGTATTGACCTCTATCATCCCCCTCCTCCCCCACTACTTGGCAAAATCCTGAAAGTCATGGGGAGTGAGAATCCCGTCCCCATATTTACAGCTGAGGAAACAGGCCTGGGCAGTTCAGGGACAGGCCCGAAGCAGCCCCTACCACAGGGCCTAGGACCTTGTAGGTTCTCACTAATACTCATGGGACTGCTGACCCTATAAATTGATATGATTTTTTTTATTATTATATATATTATATATATATTATTAATTTTTTTTACAGAGAGGAAGAGAGAGGGATAGAGAGTTAGAAACATCGATGAGAGAGGAACATCAACCAGCTGCCTCCTGCACACCCCCCACCGGGGATGTGCCCGCAACCAAGGTACATGCCCTTGACCAGAATCGAACCCGGGGCCCTTGAGTCCGCAGGCCAATGCTCTACCCATTGATCCAAACCTGTTTCGGCAATAAAATATATATTTTTTAAAATACTTGTGGGACTGACGAATGCCTGACTTTAAAAATCCACCTACCCCCCTTCCTCTGCCTTTTCAGACCGGGCCTCACAGCTTCGTCCGTGAGGGCACGGGAGCTTTCTCTGAGAAGTCTTTAATTCTGTGCTGGATGGCAAGATAATCTTGGGAAATTATCGCCTGTCAGACCCGGCAGACCGAGGCCACGACCTCCTCGCTGAGGCCTGTATCCGGGGCTGTGTTTACCCTGGCAGGGGCGCCGGGGGCCACCGTCTGAACTGTCACAGACTAACGAGGAAAGGCAAAGGCCACCGGGTGAGCAAAGGCCGCGTGAGCCCAGCCAAGGGGTGTGAGGGCCCCGCCCCGAGTGGCGAGCTTGTCCAGGCAGGCGAGGCACCCTGGTCCCGGGCCCCCTCCTCCCAGGAGCAGCAGAGATTTTCACCGCCGCAGCCTCCCTTCCCCGTGCCAGGGCCAGCGTGCGCGTTTTATTGGCTTTGCCGTGTGTGCTTGGGCTTGGTTTGTATATTTGCTTTGGTTTTATCGTTGCGTAAGAGTGAGAGTTTGAAGGAATTCTATATCCGTTCACAGGTAAGTAAGTTGACAGTAAAGATCATTTACAACCAAACACTGGAGTCCGTTGTGCCATTGTTTCTCCTTTAAGTTTAAAAAGGATCTCTCTGTATCATACGTGACTTTTAGAAACTCGGGATTGCATCATTCATCCATCCGTCAGCCACAGGCCTTTACTGAGCGCCTGTGTGCCCGGCCCTGGCCGGCTCTCCCCGGCCCGGAGCCAGGTCTCCCTGCCCGCGGCCCCCGCCTCCCGCTCCGCTCCGGCAGGGCCTGTACCTTGGAGATGTCCACCATGGAGTTCACCTGTTCCCGGAGCTTGCGGTGTTTCAGCCGCACCTGGCGGAACCTGTGGGAAGAAGCGGGGGTTCAGTTTTCCCATAAGCCCGGTCCCCAGTTGTGGTCCTAATGAAAGGCGGGGGGGGATGAGGGGAGGAGAGACCCACGCAGATACCGTACAAAGAGGAAAAGCCGCTAGAAAGCTGAAGTGGGCGCTGCACCCATGAGTCCACCTCCCTGGGAGAGACCCAGGTCTGGGGGTCCACAGACACCCCGAGATATGCAAAGTCAGCCACCTCAGACTCACAAAGAGGGCCAGGCGATATCTGTTCAGTCACACACAGTGCATGCGGCTGCACACACACACACACACACACACACACACACACCCCAATCCCCTCCCCCCATATGGGTGCACATGGGTGTGGGCTCCCGCACACGCATACACACACAGCAGCCCTCACGTGTTGATAGCAGCCAGCAGCTTGCGCTGGTGCCTGCGGGCAGCTCCGGAGTCCTTCCTGCGCGTGTGTTTGTAGAACATCCAGGCCTCTTGCAGCACTCGGGCAGCCGACTCCCTCATCTGGGGGCGGGGGGCACAGTGTCAGCGCAGACTGACCCCTTGGCTCTGGGAAGAGGGGGCTGGGGACCTGGGGGCCTGGGTCTGAGGGAGGAGAGACTGGGGGCCTGGGTCTGAGGGAGGAGGGGCTGGGGGCCTGGACCCCTGGGTCTGAGGGAGGCGGGGCTGGGGGCCTGGACCCATGGGTCTGAGGAAAGAGGGGTTGGGGGTCTGGGGGCCTGGGTCAGAGGCAGGAGGGGCTAGGGGCCTGGACTCCTGGGTCTGAGGAAGGAGGAGCTGAGGGCCTGGGTCTGAGGGAGGAGGGAGGAGGGAGCTGGGGTTGGGACTCCCGTGGGGCCCGCCCTCACCTCCTTGGCATACTGGATGTCCATCATGAAGTTGTGCACATGCTTCTCCGCCTTATTGAACTCCAGCTTCCGAGCCACCACGGCCACCAGCAGGGCTGTGCAGCAGACGCCCTGTGGGCACAGCAGGCACTGACACAGGGCCGTGGGGCTCTCTAGCCAGTCCTGTTCCACCAGCTCTCCTATGCCCCGCACCTTCTCCCTCCACCTGCAATCCTCCAACAGCCACAGAAGGCAGGCCCAACCACCCCTAAGTGACAGACAGACAAACAGCTCCAAGCAGGGAGTGAGGATTAGAAAGTACGGGTCTTGTGTGTATTTACACCTTCAAAATATTCTCTTTGGTTAAGGTGGCGATCGGCAAACTCATTAGTCAACAGAGCAGCAAACCGAGGCTTGTGAGCCGAAGGTTGCTGACCGCCGGGTTAAGGGTGTGAATGGAGGAGGAGAAGAGGGCTGGGCTGGGCAAGGGGCAGGCCTCAGGCTCCTGCTGCTCACACCCAGGTGGCCTTCACCCTCCTCCCTGGGGATCCAGCATGTCCTCCCTTCGACACCATCAGGGCTGGGAACTGGTGGCTTGAGCCCCTGAGGGTAAGGGGAGCCGGTCTCTTGAAGGCCAAGGCATTCCTGGAACCCGGGGGAATGGGGGGAGGAGGGGAGATAAGGGTTGCACGGGAGGAACTGGATGCCCGGCTCTATGAAGGGGAAAGGGGAAATGTCTGGGTTCAGGAGGAGGCTGACTCTGGGAGGAGGCATCCTGGGGCTGGAGAGCCTATGCCTCATCCTTGAGGGCACTGGTGCTGGGGGGGGTGACAGATGCCTGGGACCATTATAACACCCCCCACCCCGCTTTCCTGAGCATCTCCTGTGTGCTGGGCACCCTTTGAGATCCTTTACATGTTTCAATTCACTTACTCTCCTCAGGAACCCGAGGAGTTCCTAGTATGAATACCCTCTTTCATAGACGAGGAAACCGAGGCCTGGGAGGTGCATGGCTCGCTCCCAGCTAGGAAGTGGCAGGAGCGGGATTTGTCCCCAGGCAGCCTGGGTCCCCAAGACACACTCTTCCTGGTTAGAGTGTGTAGCCTGGATGGAGGCTGGGAGCGTGGATTCCTCTCCCAGGGCTGGGAAACCGTGCCTGAGTCCTGGATGACTAGGGGATAGGGGGAGGAGGGGGGAGGGGAGGAGGTAGGATTCGGAGCCTCGATGGGGCTCAGGGTAGATTCCTGGACTCTGGAAGGAAATGGAGCTGGGAAGTTCGGGGCCTGATGTTCCTGAGGAGGATGAGGTTTCAGAGAGAGCAAGGGTCCGGGGGATGGAGTCCTGTGTTTTATAAGGACATGGGGCTGGGGGGCTGTGTCCCAGTGAGGGACTGGGGCTATGGGGTGGCCCTGCCTGCCTGTGTTGGCTCCGTGGCCCCCTGGAGCCAGGGGGCGACCAGTGCGGAAGAGGGGAGGGTCCCTGAGGCGCCCCTACTCACCATGACGCCGGTGCAGAGGCAAACAATCTTGCCCCACATGGTGCCCGGCACCACGTCCCCGTAACCGATGGTCAGGAAGGTGATGGGGATCAGCCACAGAGTGTCTGAGAGGTGTCCGGTGGCGTTAACAGCCTGCCTGTGGGAAAGGACAGGTTAGATCTGAAATGGCTCCAGGAGTCCCCGGGTGTCTGATACCCTCCTTCCTAATACATACCCACAGTCCCAAAAAGCACTCAGAAAAACACACACAAAACCCCCCACAAAAACAGTAAGTTCTGGGCTTTGGGGAGCCTGCCTGGCCTCCCGGCTGCTGTGTGAGCTGGGCTGGATGCTCCACCTCTCTGGTCTGTGGGACTTGAACCTGGTGCAGCCGGTTAGTTCCAAAGCCTGCTCAGTGTCCGTGAGGTATCAGGCTGCTGTATTCAGAGTGTGTGTGTGTGGGGTGGGGGTGGCAGAAACCCAGCCCAAAGTCCACGTGTCAGACCCTGGCAGGGGCTGCATCCGCCCAGAGGAATGGGGGCCTTTCTCCCAGTTTCTACAAGACGCCGTCTGGCCTAGAGGCGGCCCCATCAGGACTGAAAGGGTGGGTGGGACTCTGCAAAGTCTTGGTGAGACCCTGCATTTCCCCCTCACTTCATAGAAGGGGACATTTCGGTCCAGCCATGGAAGGGATCGAAAATCAGGACTTGCCGAAACCGGTTTAACTCAGTGGATAGAGCATTGGCCTGCGGACTGAGGCGTCCCGGGTTCGATTCTGGTCAAGGGCATGTACTATGGTTACGGGCACATCCCCAGCTGCAGGAGGCGGCTGATCAATGTTTCTCCCTCATCGATGTTTCTAACTATCTATCTCTCTCCCTTCCTCTCTGTAAAAAAATCAATAAAATATATTTAAAAAAAAAAAAAAAAAGAAAGAAAGAAAGAAAAGAAAATCAGGACTTGGCCAACTCTGGCCCGCAGACCCCTCCTGCATCGGGGTCAGTAGGGAACCACAGCTCAGACCCACTGAAGGAGTGTCTATAAGTGGAGGCTGGCCCCTAATCGGTTTGGCTCAGTGGACAGAGCATCGGCCTGCAGACTCAAGGGTCCCAGGTTCGATTCCGGTCATGGGCATGTACCTTGGTTGCAGGCACATTCCCCAAAAGGGAGTGTGCAGGAGGCAGCTCATCAATGTTTCTCTCTCATCAATGTTTCTAATTCTCTATTCCTCTCCCTTCCTCTCTGTAAAAAAAAATTAATAAAAAATATATATATATATATTTTAAATGGGGGCTGAGTCTGTGCTGTAAATAAGCTGCCTCCTCATCCCAAAGTACAGCCACGCTGGAGGGAGGACCTCTGCCTTAGGAGTTAGAGATGTGACTCCCGCCCCGTGTCCTGTTTCTCAGATAAACATGGCGGGAGGACTATTCATTGACCCTGATCATGACCGATTCTCCAACTGGGGACACTGAGGGGAGGGCCTGCCAGATGAAGTTTAAAATGACAAAGATGGGAATTGCCAGGGAGACTTGAAAGCTGGTGGAATTTGTAAAAACTGTGCAGATGAGAAAACAAGCTCGGAAAGGAGAGATCTGAAGCCAGGTCTCTCTCTCTCCGCCTCCCCCCCAAGAATCCTTTGCCAGGCGAACTTTAAACATGAGTGGGCATCCCAGTCACTTGTTAAGACAAATTGCTTGGCCCCACCTGTCAGAGAGTTTAAATTCGGTCATTCTGGACGGGGCCTGAGAATTTGGGTTTGCAACAAGTTCTCAACAGGTGAGAACCATGGGCTAAGGTTACCCCCAAGTGTGTGTGTGTGTGTGTGTGTGTGTGTGTGAGAGAGAGAGAGAGAGAGAGAGAGAGAGAGAGAGAGAAAGAGAGAGAGAGAGAGAGAGAGAGAGAGAGAGAGAGAGAGAGAGAGAGAGACGGCAGGGAGAGGAGGGAGGGAATAGAGAGAGATATCATCTGAAGTTCGGAAAGGGCACAGGCCCAGCAGGCAGCCTGGAATCAGCTACCAGTTCCCTTAGGGCCGTGGTCAGCCAACTCATTCGTCCAACAGGGCCAAATACCAACAGTACAACGACTGAAATTTCTTTGGAGAGCCACATTTTTTAAACTTAAGCTTCTTCTAACACCACTTCTTCAAAACAGACTCGCCCAGGTCCGTGGTATTTTGTGGAAGAGCCACACTCAAGGGGTCCAAAGAGCCGCATGTGGCTCGCGAGCCGCAGTTTGCCCACCACGGCCTTCGGGCATTCTCTTTCAGAGTGGCCCCCAAACAACCCCCCGTGGGCATCCCGGCGTCTGTGCCGGCCCCTCGAAGGCAGATGCCGTGCTTGGCCAGGCCTGGGCTCTGAGCCGGAGCAGACAGATGCCTGGCACCTGAGGCCGCAGAGGCCGGGGAGCAGGAAGGGAAGGGCTTCCTAGGGTCTGCGCGTGCCCGGGGAGAGGGGGAGGCCGCAGGTGGAGGAAGGGCTGGGACCAGCCTGGACACATGTGGACAATGGCCTTCTCCCCGGCTGGGCCCCCAGGGACACCCAACCTGCACGCCAGCAGGGCGCTGCTGCTGCAAGCGGCTCCCCCGGAGGCTCCTGGTACCACCCCACACCCCCAGCACCCAGCACCCAGCACCCTCACCTCTCGGCCACCGACAGCACCCAGGCGGTGGTGAGCCACAGGCCCAGCGTGAGGCCGAGCAGCAGGCGGCCGGGGTGCGTGTTCATGTAGAGCTTGGCCACGAACCAGTGGCGGAAGCGGACCTGGTTGAGCGCGCCGATGCTGCGGTAGGACGCGTTGAGCAGCACGCCGCTGCGCAGCAGCACGGCGCGGGGCACCAGGTAGAGGCGCAGCAGCATGGCCAGCGACAGCAGCGCCTCGCCCTGGCTCAGGAAGCCCGCCCAGGGCTGCGGCGCGCTGGGCAGCGGGCACGGCGGGGCCCGCACGGGCGCCGGGTGCAGCCCGCACACCGCCAGCTCCACCACGATCTGCGCCGCCTGCCGCCCCGTCAGCGCCACGCGCCAGTCCCGGAGGCTGTTGTCCGTCATGAACAGCTGCGGGGAGGGAGGGTGCGAACCGGGGGAGAAGGAGAAGGGGGGGGGGAAGGGTCACATGGAGGTCAGGCGGCCGGACGCCAGCCTGCTGCCCGGAGATAAGGGGGCCGCGCCCGCCGCCAGGCCAGGGGAGGAGGCAGATAGCGCAGGGGCGTGGGCCCCGAGGGTGGGCGAGGAGCCGGGCAGCGCTGGAGGAGGCCGTTCCTCCCCTTCTCCCCTCCCTGCTAGGGCAGCCCCCTTCCAGGCGCCTGGGAGGCCCTGCTACGCGTCCCTGGCCTCCCAGGCGCCTGAAATTATTCTAGGACAGTGTTTCCCAAACTCCTCTCATGATGAGAATCACCCGGTGGAGTTGTTAAACTACAGATTCCTGAATCCCAACTAAGAAGGGCTAAACTAGAATTTTTGGGAACTGCCGAAACCGGTGTGGCTCAGTGGATAGAACGTCGGCCTGCAGACTGAAAGGTCCCAGGTTCGATTCCGGTCAAGGGCATGTACCTGGGTTGCGGGCACATCCCCAGTAGGGGTTGTACAGGGGGCCGCTGATCGATGATTCTCTCTCATCGATGTTTCTAACTCTCTATCCCTCTCTCTTCCTCTCTGTAAAAAAAAAAAAAAGAAATCAATAAAATATATATATATTTTAAAAGATTAGAATTTTTGAGAACATATAGGTAAACTTGTATACTTAACTAGTGCTCTAAGACAGAGCACCAAGTTAATTGTATACTTAACTAGTGCTCTAAGGCAGAGCACTAAGTTAAGTGTACAATTTTACCTATATGTTCCCAAAAATTCTAGTTTAGCACTTCTTAGTTGGGATTCGGAAATCTGTATTCTAACGTCTCCACCAGGTGATTCTCATCATGAGCAAAGTTTGGGAAACACTGTTCTAGGAACTGATAGGAACAAAAGACAGAAACTCGCCGCCAAAACCTGTTTGGTTCAGTGGACAGAGCATTGGCCTGCGATCTGAAAGGTCCCAGGTTCGATTCCGGAATAGGGCACGTACACTGGTTGCGGGCACATCCCCGGTAAGGGGTGTGCAGGAGGCAGTTGGTAGAGGTCTCTCTCTCTCTCTCTCTCTCTCTCTCTCTCTCTCATTGATGTTTCTAGCTCTCTATCCCTCTCTCTTCCTCTCTGTAAAAAAAAAAAATCAATAAAATATATTTTAAAAAATAAAAATAAATAGACAGAAACTCCTGCCTTCCTGGAGCTTCCCCTCCACATCCCTGAAGCCACCTCCCAGTCCTGTGTCGGGACATGTATGTGTGCAGTGAGCGTGGTCACATACCATGAGCGTGACCACAGCTGACACCCAGGGGGGCGTTTTGGGTGTGCGAGGCCCCGCTTACATGCTGGGGCTCAGCGAGTGCTCCCAGCACGTGGGGATGGAAGTGTTATTACCCCCATGTTACAGGTGTGGGAGCGGAGGCCCAGGTCCCTCAGGTCGGCCAGGCCACAAGCTCAGGACACTTCACGGCTCACACGACTGCGGTGAGCGGTCAAGTGTACTTTGTGCCAAGCACCTCTTACATACCAGCCCGGCAAGGGCCATTAGGGCACATGACCCATACCCCCCATCTTACAGGGGAGCAGGGAGGAGGGAACAGCATCTGGGGACGGGGGTGCATCGGAGGGGACCAGGGGTGGAGAAACATGACGCTGGAGGGACGAATGGGTGGGAGGGGCTCCTGAGTCAGGAGGGCACTGGCACAGAGGGGAGCGCAGGAGTGGGCGCAGGGGGGCGTGGGCATAGCCCCCGGGGGGTCTCAGGCTGCTTGGGATTGGAATAGGTGGGGATTCAGAGATGGAGGACTGAGATCTGGGAGGCTGGGCCGGGGGCAGAGTGGACAGAGGCCTGGGGGCAGGAACTGAGCATCCGTGAGTGTGGAGGGGGGAGGGGGACGGACGGGGTGCAGGTGGAGGAAGGGAAGCCGCTGCTCCAGGAGGCCCTGTTGGCCTGTCCACAGTTCATCCCGTCCCAGTGGGTGAGGGTGTGGACGCATCTCAGGCAGAGGAACCTCATTACTCAGCCCCGAGGAGGAGGATGGAAAGTGTGAGCCGGCAGGGCGTGGCGGGGGGCTGGCGGCAGAAGGAAGCGGTTGGGGCGGGATCCACGCTACCTGGATCTCTTTGGCGTGAAAGGCCACGATGAAGCAGAGGAGCAGGAAGGTGGAGATGCTGATGGTGCACTTAACCAGGAACAGGTAGAACGCCCACTGTGGGGAGAGAGAGGGAAAGGGGTGAGATCCCAGGTCTCTCCCCTCGGTCTCCTCTACCTTCCTCCCTAACCGCCTCTCCTCCATTCCCAGTTCCCTGGACTCCTTTCCCCACAAGCCACAACCCAGTGCCTCCCGACATCTCAATTCGGGAAGTCTCAAACCCATCCTCTGGTCCCCGTCCTTCCCAACCAGACAGCCCTGGCCGCTCCTCCTCCTCCTCTGCCCTTCTCCTCGGACCCACATCCCTCAGGGGAGAACTGGAAATGCACATTCCTTCTTAAAAAAAATAAAATAAATAATAATAATAATAATAATAATAATAAAAAAAAAAAAATATATATATATATATATATATATATATAGAGAGAGAGAGAGAGAGAGAGAGAGAGAGAGAGAGAGTCCATCAACCAGATCTAAAATAGCATGGCTGACATGGACGCATAAGGAACTATTTGACATTGAAATTGGGACTCAAAAGAACTGTTGGCCCAGAAAGGAACTCACTACAGACTGATTCATTTGCGTCTCAGCATAACCATTATGGCTTGTTGCAGTTTAGGTTCTTACAAGGGTATTTCTTAGATCACATGATCTCACACATCTAGAGGAAATGATGAACAATGACTGATGAACCAAAACAAACCCAGAGAAAGAGAAGCAGCGATCAGACTCTCAAACCTCAGAGGGAACATAGGGGAGGGGAGGGGTAAGGGGGAAAGATCAACCAAAGGACTTGTGTGCCAGTGGCCATGGACAACGGGGAGTGAGGGCACTTGTAGGGAGGGGTTTGGGGTGGGATTGTGGGGATGAGGACAATTATGTGATACCATGATCAATAAAAAAAATAATATATATATATATATATTTTTTATTGATTTCAGAGAGGAAGAGAGAGATAGAAACATCAATGATGACAGGGAATCATTGATTGGCTGCCTCCTGCATGCCCCCTACTGGGGATGGAGCCCACAACACAGGCATGTGCCCTTGGCTGGAATCGAACCTGGGACTCTTCAGTCCATAGGCCGTTGATAGGTCCCCCCTTCCTCCAACTGATGGACAGACGTAAACTCCACCTGCAGCGGACATTCCTGAGCTCTGAACCACCAATCAGCACCTGCCAAACACCCTAAGCCCCTGATTCCTAAGTCCCTGGGTCCCTAATCATAGGCCTTACATGAAACCACCAATCAGCGTGTGCTGAGCGCCCTAAGCCCCGTCCCCTCTCTTTCCTCCCCTTAAAAAGTGCTTGTACCCCGGCCCTCACTCGCTCTCTTCCTCTCTCTGGAAGCAGCTGGCAGTGGTTCTCTTCTCTTCAATCAAGCTTGTGTCCTGGCATCCCTATCTCCAGCCCTCTCTATTTCATCTTTCACCCTTGACAAGAATCGAACCTGTGGCCCTTCAGTCCGCAGGCCAGACACTCTATGCACTGAGCCAAACCAGCTAGGGCGATTCACATTCCTTCTTAATTCCCGGCCACTTCCCCATCCAAAATAGCTCCTCAGCCTGGCCATGGTCACTCAGTGGTTGAGCATCGGCCTAGGAACCAGGAGGTCACGGTTCAATTCCCGGTCAGGACACATGCCCAGGTTGCGGGCTTGATCCCCAGTAGGGGGGGAGGCAGCCCACCAATGATTCCCATTGATGTTTCTCTCCTTCTCCCGTCCTCTCCAGAAGGGGCAGAGTGGACAGAGGCCGGGGGGTTGGCACTCAGCGTCCGTGAGTGTGCCAGGGAGATGGCGCTGCAGGTGGAGGAAGGGCTGGGGCTGCTCCAGGAGGCTCTGTGGGTCTGTGTTCCTCCGTGGTTTGTGTGTATGTGGGGGTGTGCCTGCACCCCACCCCCCCAAAAAAATCACTAGAGACCTGCCTGCCTCCCTCACCCCCAAACCCAGAAGCAGACATTTATTTGGCCTCTAAAGTGCGCCCCCTGCCCTTCCCTTCCCACCCAGCTGGCCTTGCCCTAGAGAGCAACTTCAAGTCCCACCCCCATGCCCCAATTCTCAGGGGGCCTAGAGACTGTCACTCAGCACCCAAGGAATGAATGACACCCTCCCCTGCCCTCATACAGGGGGCTGAGTCCCCGAGGGGCTCAGGGGAAGACCCTCCGCCCCTCCTGTGTCCTGCCTCTCCTCGCCCTGCCCTGCCACCCTGTCTCCTGGCTCTAAGCCCGGGGCCGACCTGGCGGGAAGCACATGGCACCCAGAAGCCACAGAGAAGGCTTCTCCCTCTTCGTGCGGCAACGCCTTGGAGGAATCCAGGGGAGGACGGAGAGGGGATTGGGACGGCCAGATTCCCCAGGAGGAGCTGGGAGGGTGTCCCTGCCTGGGGGAGCTGGGGGGGGGGGGCAGGGGGAGTTGTCAGGGGAATGAGACCACCTGGGCTCCCACCTGCTTCTCCTGAGACACCTGCTTCTCCTGAGATGCTGCCAGCGCCCCTGAAGGGGGCAGCCTCCCCCCCCCCCCCCCCCCCCCCGCAGGGGAAGAGAGCCAGTTTCCTGCTCCCAGGGCCTGCCCCCAACAGCCTGAACAATGGCTCTGTTGTCCACGGCCCTCCCCACCCCTCCACCCCTCTCTGGAACCTCCTCCCCCGTCTCTGTCTTTTTATTTTTATTTTTTAAAAATATATTTTATTGATTTTTTATAGAGAGAAAGGGAGAGGGATAGAGAGCTAGAAACATCGATGAGACAAACATCGACCAGCTGCATCCTGCACACACACCCCCCCCCCCCACTGGGGATGTGCCCGCAACCAAGGTACATGCCCTCGACGGGATTGGAACCCGGGACCTTTCAGTCTGCAGGCTGATGCTCTATCCACTGAGTCAAACCGGTTTCGGCCTGTCTCTGTCTTCAGTTTGTTCCAAACGCTGCCCAACGAGACGCAGCCCCCTTCCCCGCACTGCAGTGCGCTTCTCCCGTGGCCATGCCTACCCTGGGTCCCTGGGCACTCCCCCATGCCACTCTGGGCCCTCCGTCTCACTCCCCTCCACGTCTGGCCCCTGGAGAGCGGGTGTCCGGGTCCCTGTGCCACAGGCTCCTTAGACTGAGCTGGAGGTGGGGAGGGGAAGGCAGCCAGGGAACCGGGGCTGCGGAGAGCCCCCCCTGCCCCCCCCAGGATCTTCACCCTTCACCCAGCTTACAGACGGGAAAACAGGCTCAGAGCCTCGCAGGCTCCACAGAACCTCACTGCTGCAGGCAGAAGCCCGGCAGGTGGAAAAGGACAAGACAAAGGGAGGAGGTGGACGGAGTGGGTCAGAGTGACCCCCTTGTGCCTTCCTATCTGCCAGGGCTCCCATGTCCTCGCCTCCCCTGCTGGGCGGGGAGCGGGCGCGGAGCGGGGGCAGGCTCGGCCATGCTTCCTGTTGGCATGGGCCTCAGCCGCCCCACCCCCTCGGTGCCCGCTGCCCTCCTCTTGGCCTCCTGGCCGAGGAAGCCAGTCCGTCCCGACCTTCCACGGGGCTCCGGCCACCAGAGAGAGCCGCCTGCCTCCCTCCCTCACCCCCACCTCCCAAGCGTGAGCCTCCATCCCCCGAGAACCCTCCTCCAATCAGTGCCCCCCCTCCCCTCCGCCCCGACCAGCCTGATTCCACATCCCTTCACCCAGACTGGCCTCCAACCCCTCCTTTCTTGTTGAGCAATTCTGTTCTGTCCTCAAGCCGCTAATTCCGGCCCCTGTCCTCCCCGTGGCCGTGGCGGCCGCACGGCCCCGCCGGCCGGGGCTGGAATGTGCCGGGAGCTGCTCGGACTTGTCGGGGCCCCACCTGTCAGGTCCTTCCCCAAAAGATGCTCCAGGCCTCCTCCTCCAGCCCCGAGCCAGGCCCTCCTTCCCTGGGACCAGGAGTCCGGCTATCAGCCTGCGTCTCCATTAGTTCCCAGACTGCACAGCATATAGATTCTGAGGGAGTTGGGTTTCTTAATGAAACAGAAGGGTCAGAGTGCGTGTGTGCGTGTGCGTGTGTGCGTGTGTGTGTGTGTGTGTGTGTGTGTGTGTGAGAGAGAGAGAGAGAGAGAGAGAGAGAGAGAGAGAGAGAGAGAGACCGTTTCCCACCCCCACCCCAGCCCGTTTCTTCTGGCCTCTACCTTTAGTGCTGAGGTTCTGGGTAAACTTTCGGGTTTAGATAAGGACCAAGGAGCCACCCGCCTACTGGAAGAACTTAGTTCCTCTCCTCACCCTCCCTTCGCCAAACCAAGGGTTACCGTTGCCCTTATCTGCTCTTGGGGGACCTGAGTATCTGATCAGCCTCCCCCCCACCCCCCACACACACACCAGGGGTGCTGGACCTCCAGCTGTCTGACTGCAATACCTTCACGGACTGAGACACGGAACCCCTGTCCCCTCATTCTGCAGAGAGAACTCCCAGCCTTTGCCTCCCTAGATCCCTAACTCCCCAGCCCCAGTCCCCTCTGCCCTCAGACCTAGAGTCCAGGCCCCAGACCCTCCTCCCTCAGACCCAGGGGTCCAGGCCCCCAGCCCTCCTCCCTCACACCCAGGAGTCCAGGCCCCCAGCCCCTCCTCCCTCAGACCCAGGAGTCCAGGCGCCCAGCCCTCCTCTCTCAGACCCAGGGGTCCAGGCCCCCAGCCCCTCCTCCCTCAGACCCAGGAGCCCAGGCCCCCACCCTCCTCCCTCAGACCCAGGAGTCCAGGCCCCCAGGCCCCTCCTCCCTCTGACCCCTCTGACCCAGGAGTGCCAGCCCCCAGGCCCCTCCTCTCTCTGACCGAGTCCAGGCCCCCAGCTCCTCCTCCCTCTGACCCCTCTGACCCAGGAGTCCCAGCCCCCAGGCCCCTCCTCCCTCGGACCGGGAGTCTCAGCCCCCAGCCTCCGGTGGCCCAGCATGAGTTCCACTCACCGTGCACCCTCCGAACCACAGCATCTCTGCGTGCAGCACCATGAGCCCGATGCCGATTCCCGCCAGAGTGAGTGCCCAGCAGGCCAGCCACTTCTCCTGCTCCAGCAGGCGCTTTCGCCGCCGAAGGGCTCCCAGGCCAGGCACCAGCTCCCCGCCCATGGCCCCCGGGGTCTTGGGACTCAGCCAGCTTCCTGCCCAGGGTCCCCCACCTCGCAGCACACAAAGGGCAGCCACTGTGGCTGGCAGGTCCTCAGCCTGCTCCGCTCAGCTGCTCTGGGGCTCTGGCTTTGAGGCACGGAGAGCCGGTGCCCTCTGGGGGTGGTGTCTGCTGGGCAGGGCAGGGAGGGGCCCCGAGGCCCTTGGGCAGAGGGGAGGCTCCCCAGCCCCGCTTCTCAGACTAAGGAGGGGCTGGAGTGAGTCTTGGGGCAGAGCAAGGAAGAAGTGTGCATCCTCGTGGATCAGGACACACTGACACAACGGTCACTCACAACGGTCTGCCCTGTGAGCACACACCTACATCTGGCCACGCCCAGGCCCCATGTGACGCCAGCACACCCAGCGTGGTCACAGACAGACCCGAACACACACGGCCACACTACACAACCTACACCGAGTGACTCACAACTCCCAACACGTTCTGAAACCCACAGCCACACCCAGACACCACATTCACAGGGTGACACACTCGGGCACTCGGCAAGGAGGCAGACAGCGCCCCGTGGCACACACAGCCACCCAAAAACTGTCTGCTCACAGGCACAAACATTGCAACCACAATGGGCACAGCATGGCCCGACACTCACAGCCACACCCAGACACCACACATCGGATACACACACATAGCTACCCAAGCACAACATACAGCGAGTGTTCTGCACACACACAGGTGGTATTGACATGGCGGTGCCCAAATGCCACACACATACACACACACACACAACACACACACATACACACACTGGTGTTAACAGTGCACTCTCATTCCACACCTGGGGAATGATATCCAACACATGTGGACACACAACACTTAGGGACAGGGGACAGTCCCCATCACCCAGCACATGGGAAAATGCACACGGACACATGCCATGCACATGGCAACTCACACGGACGCCCAGAGGCTGGTTCACAGCACACACAGTGTGCCCTGGACACATGCCAGTAGGAGAGCAGTGTTAACAGACGCAGGCAGAGACCTGTACTGCACAGCGACACACAGAGTCCCCAACAGCACGGACATCACAGAGGACACAACCCAGAATCATGCCCCTGGGGAGGGGGCACAGGCCACATGCACCCCAGTGCCCAAATGCAACCTGTACAGAGGAAAACATGTACCACCGCCTTTGACAAGCACCTCCAGGCACCGTGTACAGCAGCCACACAGGGCCCCGCACTCCTCATGCTCCCCCACGCACGACCACACCACGGCAGCACGCCCAGGGAAACACACACACACACACACACACGCACACGCACACACAGCAGCACCAAGCACAGCGGCCCCACACGGCCCCACGCCGCCTTTGACAAACACCGCGTGTCACATGACTCAGCAGATAGGACCCGCGGACGCAGCTGATAGGCCTGCAATAGCACCCCACACACCGCCAGAGGACAGCCTGCCGCACTTGCAATACACAACCTCACAGCACAACACCCTCTGGCTGTGGGCAGCCAGCCGCTGCGGGCAGGGACAGGAGAGGCCCCCCACAAGCACATGCATCTCCACATAAAACACACGGTCACCTCGCTGAGGGAAACACGGCCTTACCCATACTAGTACAGCACCCAGAGAGAGACACACCACACACTGACACACAGGCCGGCACACACAGTGCAGGGTGTGTGACCACATGCCGGAGGCACCACGGAGACACACTCACCTCGCACAGCGTCACACCCCGATCTCCCGACACACCGCTGGCCCCAGGGGCACCACGCTTGGGGGAACACAGAGACGTAACCCTCTCCTCTTTCGGGTCCCACGTCACGCAGAAACACTGGCCCGCCAGCACCGTGTACAAGCAGCTACACAGGGCCCTGCACTCCACATGCTCCACCACGCACGACCACACAGAGGCAGCACGCACAGGGAAATACACAGCCACACAGCCGCACAAACACACAAACACTGCTGTACACGGTGCTTGGCGGTGCTTGTCAGGGAAATGAGACACGCACAGACGTGCCTGGCAACACACTAACACAACCCACACAGACACACCCGGAGACACCAAACCGCACACACAGACACTCCCAGTGACAAAAACACAACCCGTGCCGGGGCCCTGCCCTGTGGCACACATGGCTTTTGCCGGGTGAGACAGACCAGGGCACACGCAGACGCCACACGCGTGTCTGCTCGGAGAAACGGCTGCTGCCGGGCGCTCCTGGGGCTGAGCCTCAGCGCCCTGGCACCTGCCGCCCTCGGGCCTGGCACGGGTCCCTGTGCCTCTCCTCCAACGCTTCTCCTCGTCTCTCCAGCTCCAGAAACCTCTGGGTTCGTGTTTATTTCTGCCTCCTGTCTTTCTCAGTCTCTGCTTTTCTCTCCTTTCATACCTTTCTACTGCTCTGTCTCTGTCTCCCTGAGCATTTCTGACTCTCTCTGCCTGTTTGTTCCACTTCTCTCTCTGCTCTTTATCTCTCTCTCTCGGCCTCCCTCAGCTCTGGGTCTCTGTGTGTCTGTTAGCATCTCTGTCTCCGTCTTCGTTCTCGTGTCCCTCTCTGTTTTTTTTTATTCTCACTCCCTGCCACTGTCTCTCTGCCTCCCTGTCCCTCTCTGTGCTTATCGACATCTGTGTCCCTGTGGTTGTCTGATTCCATCTCTGTCTCTGCTCTTTTCTGTCTCACTTTCTCTCTCTCTGTCTCTTGCTGGCTCTAGGTCTCCCTCTGTCCATGGCCATAGCTGTGTTTCTCTCCCGGCCTTTTCCAGTTCCACCCACCCCACCCCGCTCAGAGGCCAAGGACCAGAGACACAGAGACCTCCAGCACCGGCCCCTCCACAGCTGTGCCTCAGGGCAGGCACCAGGGAAACCGACACAGAGGGAGAGACCTTAGTGGTGCAGCCAGATGTGTGTGTGTGTGTGTGTGTGTGAGAGAGAGAGAGAGAGAGAGAGAGATTGAGAAGGAGGACGGGAGGAGAGTAGGGAGAGAGAATTAATTAAAAACAAAAGCAGAGCCAAAACTGGTTTGGCTCAGTGGATAGAGCGTCGGCCTAAGGACTGAAAGGTCCCAGGTTCAATTCCGGTCAAGGGCATGTACCTTGGTTGCAGGCACATCCCAAGTAGGGGTTGTGCAAGAGGCAGCTGATCGATGTTTCTCTATCATCAATGTTTCTAACTCTCTATCCCTCTCTCTCCCTCTCTGTAAAAAATCAATAAAATATATTAAACAATACAACAAACAAACAACAACAACAACAACAAACAAAGCAGAGATGGAGAGAGAAGAGACCCAGAGGTAAAGAGACAGCAGAAACCAGAATCAGGACACAAAGTTATTGCAGAGGAGCAAAGGCTGGGCATGGGAGGTGCCAGGTGGGCAGCAATGGGGATACAGTGGGAAGGGCACCTGCCTCCAAACTGAAGTTCCAGGCCGTGGGGGTCAGTGTGTAGGACACTTGGCTTGAGCCGGCTCCCTCCAGTCCAGGGAGGGGCTGAGCCGGGCGGTGGGGGTGACTCAGGGCCCCAGAGCTTCCTGTGACTCAGCTTTGGTCTCAGTCCTGGAGGGGGTGGAGGGGAGGAGGGTCTCTGTAAAAGAGAGGAAGTGAGGAGCACCAGAAGGCCTCGGAGCCTGGGCCGGCCCCTAGGAGGGGACTGAGAGCGGCCACGGGGACGTTGAGGAGAGGAGTGGACTGGGGGCGTGGACTCTGGGGCCCAGACTCCTGACTCTGAGAAAGGAGGGGGCTGGGGGCCCAGACAGCTTCAGAAAAACCAGAATAACTGATTCCAAAGTCCCTGGGACTTTTTGCTGGCCTTGTCCCAGCTGCCCCACCTTCCTCCCAACCCCATCTCCGGGTCTGGAACAGATCCAGTGCCTTGGGGCCCAGCCGGAAGGGGCTAAGCACAAAGGGTTGTTTAACTGCTCAGGGAGTGAAGACAAGGGTGTCTCAGGCGGAAAGGTCACTCGTCGCCCAGGGCTGGAGCAGGGAAAGGAGAGGCTGAAGTGGGGGGTGGGGGGTGGGCCGCGGGTAAGACTTCCTGAAAGCCAGGCCAGTGGCTGCAAATCCTCCAGGGCAGACAGTTTTTTGGATTAAGGCAGTGGATGGCTTCAGGGCATCGGGTTACTGACACCTAGTGGTGGTCTTGGGAACTGCAGGAACTCTGCTTGTCTAGCCCAGTTTCCTGTCAGCATAACACTGAGCACTTACTGAGTCCAGGTACCGCTCTAAGCATTGAGAGTATCCTATCTAATAAAAGAGTAATATGCAAATTAACCATCACTCCCCTACACCCACAAGCCACGCTCACAAGCTATGCCCACAAGCCAATCAGGAGTGAATGTGCAAATAAACCCAACCAAGATGGCTATGGCCACAGAGATCAGGATGGAGGTTTGGGTTTCCCTGGCAATGGAGGAAGCCAAGCTTTCTGCCTGCCCTTGCCGGCCTAAGCCTCCACGCAAGGCTACAAAATTTCAATGATAGAGGTAAACAAATCCAAACAGAAATGGCTGCCTCCACTGAGGGAGCAGAAGGCTTGGCTCTGCTCCAGGCTATAGTTTCAATTGTAGAAAGTAAATAAACCCCAGATACCAGGGCCTCTGCTTGGGTCGCTGGAGGGCATGGCTGGTGTGCAAACCACCACAGGCCCCTCACCCAGGCCATCCCATGCCCCAAGGGAACCCCCAACCTGATCCAGGACATTCTTCAGGGCAAACCAGCTGGCCCCCTCCTGTGCACCAGGCCTCTATCCTAGCTAATAAAAGGGTAATATGCAGATTGACCATCACTCCAACACACAAGATGGCTGCCCCCATGTGGTCAAAGATCCTGCCCCGATGTAGACACAAGATGGCTGCCACAGATGGCCAGCAGGGGAGGGCAGTTGAGAGGCACCAGACCTGCAAGGGAGGGCAGTTGGGGGTGATTAAGCTTGCAGGTGTGGGCAGTTAGGGGTGACCAGGCTGGCAGAGGAGGAAAGTTGAGGTCAACCAGA